TTAACCTTCATTACAGTCAATAATACCCTGAATAAGGTTTATTGCAAAGTTTGCAATGTCGTTTATCACCGATTTTAATAAGTTCATCTCAGAAAGGGTCCCTTTTTAATCGCTTTGGAGGATGGTTCGTTATTTTCATAAGCGTTCCAGATTCAAGTGCATTTTGAGACATCGAACTTGAAAAGGTAGGTTCAGTTGAATCAATAAGTATTGTCTTCGTCCATCGAATAGTGAAATCAAGTAAAAAAAAAAAAAAAAAATTATAAAAAAAAACAAAAAAAAAAGTCCCATATTTATATTAAAAAAAAAACAAAAAGACTAATGGTCGTCATATCAAGCCACATTAAATTATTAAAGTTTTAGGGTACAGGGTTCTCTCTTCGCATAGAGTCACATATTGGTCCATATGTTATTATTACTAATATCTTGGGTCGTTGGGTGTTATTATTACTAACCCAGGTTGTAATACGCAATGTCCTGACCAACCAATCATTTGGTTTTTTTTTGATTTTACGTTAATCAAAACAAATATCAACCGGTTAAAGTTAGATTACTGTGTTATCTGACATCTATTGCTCACAATAAGATTTCTACACGAGCAGGTATATCTCTCATGAATCAAAACGAAAAAAATGTGACTGTCCAAACCCCGAATTATTTGTAACGGTATTTAGGTACGCGTGATAATTTTATATTAACGTTTCTTTATTTCGATTGTAATACAATTGTGTCCCAATATAGCCACATATTTCAATCGGGCATTTTATGTCATAAATTCATAAAAAAAGTGCAAATAACCAGGTACAAAAGAACATTATGAAAAGGTCATTGTGCAATATATATACGTATACATAATAATTTATTATAGTTAGAGTATTTAAACATGGACACAATCTTTAAAAGTCCAGTCCAGATCATGATTCTACAATAATAATGATAGTAATAAAAGAATATTGTATACATAATAATGAATGACAAAGAATACGGACGGGCAAGTAATCAATATTCTAAAAATTTCGAGATGTATTTTTTTTTTTAATCATCTCTACGGGAATTATTCAAAATCTTGAGAATTCTGAGAAATAGGTTAATAAAATCCAAATAAAGTTCAACGGCAGCAAGAATATATTCTTCAGGATGCTTTGTTGTCATGACAGTGAAAGTATCGAAAGCAATAAAACCGCAAAATATCATAATGCAGATTATAGTAAAAATAAAATCAAAGACACCGCTGAATGGAATATAGATTCCAGCAATGCTTATTCCCAAAATAATCAAAAGACTGTTATAGAGTCTGATTTAAACAAGTATATTAGAAGAACTCATAAAAAAGACAATTCGTCAAAGAAATGAAAGGAATGAAATGATTAATGAAACTTACAGAGGAAACATTCCACTGAAATCATATTCAGATTGCAGGGTATACAATACAATACCAATAAAAAGACCAGATGTGACAATTAAGGTTCGTAGTACAGCATTATAATCGTAATAGGTCACTTTAAGTAAAGATAAATTAGATTATTAAAATTATTATTAAAATTTCTATCAAAAGAAATCAATTATTCAATGCTTGATTCTGATACTAACCAACAGTACCAACTGTGTAACTTTCTGCAAGCGTAAAAGCAGCGAGCAGAGCAAAATTTGTAGGATAAGAACGGTGATTTACTTGAAGGGCGAATAAAAGAGCGAATGTCAAGATAGAAACGATATAAATGACCCAGCCACTAAAAAAATAAATATTACATGTTAGCATTCTCTTTAAACCATATATATATATATATATATTATTTAATAGAAATTTCATACTGTGATTGAACCCAAGATTTAATAATGCTATTATGCATCATCAACCCAGCCACAGCGGTTGACAAGGAGATTTGTGCGAATAAAATTGAGAAAACTTTGCGCACGAATGCTATTAACGGAAATGTTGAATAATTAATTCCCAATTGCGTGTAATATAAAGAGATGCTATTCGTTTACAATTTTTTGAAAGGTACAAAACTTACCCATTCGAATCTTGAGATTCCTTTCGCTAACCTTCAAATTAGCAAAATTATATCCATTATATATATGACTATCATATTCCCAACCACCAATTTTGCGCTCTGCGCGATTATCGATATATTCTGGTGGTAGTCCGTTGTATGTTTGTTGTTGCATTTTTATTTTAAACAGATTATGACTTTAAAAACTTGTATGAACAAACTTTTACAAGATAAAATACAACTAATAACGTTAGTTTATCGTTAAAATTTTCTTTATATAATAAAAACGAAGAAAATAATTGTATATAACAAAATTGGTGGGGTATATTAATTGTCGTTCTCTTTCTTTTAAAAAAGAAAGAGTTAATTGATTAATTCCGTGGTTGTAGTTTACACCTAGAGCTTCTTTATATACGATAATACTGAAGTTACATTGTCACATCACGTATTTTTAATAAAGTCACGCGTGCATATGCCAAATTTATATCGGACAAAATTCTCCATCATTCTGTAAGTAAATAGACCAACTATTCTCACTTTGAAGAACTACGAAGTAAACAAATTCTGTAACTTGAATAGAATAACGGTTTGTATTGGTACTTTTAATCAAAGGATTTTTATTGTATACATGCGCTTTATTTATTGACGGAAAAGAAAATCCTAATGCTCATTTTCTTTTTTACTTTTTTTATT